TTTAGGGGCTGAAAGGCACCATATTAACTCAGTTAATTGAGTGGGAATGTCCAGCTGGCAGAGAGGGTCCTAGTGGTCAGCATGCATGACTCTCTCGCTGTGTGCCCTTCTGTCTGTGTGAGCAGACCACAATCAGCCCGCTGGAGAATGCCATCGAGACGATGGAGACCACCAATGAGAAGATCCTCACCATGATCAACCAGTACCAGGGTGACGACAGCCTTCCCATCAACCCCCTCTCCATGCTGCTCAATGGCATCGTGGACCCTGCTGTCATGGGCGGATTCGCCAAGTACGAGAAGGTTGGTGTGGTCCTGGATCTGTCTCTGTTTCTCTTTCTGTCTGTCCATAAGTCTCTCTCACCGTCCCTCTGTCTCCATTGCTCCCGCTGCTGCCTCAATCTCCCACAATCCCCCTGTCCCTAACTCATAACCTCTCCCTTGCTGCTCCCCAGGCATTTTTCACGGATGAATATGTCCAGCAGCACCCTGAGGACAGAGACAAGCTGAGCCGCCTGAAGGACCTCATCGCCTGGCAGGTACAGTGGCCAAACCGTCACACTGAGCCCTGATTGGCCAGGGGGTATTTCTGGATTCCTGCTCTGATTGGACGGTGACTCGAGTCTCCCTCCTTCTCTGCCCTAGACTCCCCTCCTGCGGGCTGGAATCCGTCTCCACGGGAAACGGGTGACGGATGACCTCCGACCTTTCCACGACCGGATGGAGGACTGCTTCAAGCAGCTGAAGAAGAAAGTGGAGAAGGAATACGGAGCGCGAGAGCTGGTGAGAGACGGGGGAGCAGAGAAAGATGAAAAAAGATGGGCATCCGTCGTTTCCTCCTCTCTGCTGTCTGTGGCTGGGGCTGCCCTGTGCTGCCACCTGCTGTCCGTGGCTGGTACGGCCGCGGTCAGTGACCTGGACCTGTTCCTCTCTGCAGCCGGAGATGGATGACCGGCGTTCCAGCCGGCCGCGCTCCATGCTGCGCTCCTATCGCCAGTCGCTGATCTCCATCTCCTCCCTGGGCTCCGAGTGCGGTACTCCCACCAAGCTGCACCCAGAGAGGTACTCACTGCGCCTCTGTCCTGTCTCCGCTGGGAGTGTGAGGGTGTGTGAGTGAGTGTGAGTGAGTGTGAGAGTGTGAGGGTGTGTGTGTGTGAGAGTGTGAGAGTGTGAGAGTGTAGTGTAGTGTAAGTGTAGTTTAGTGTGTGTGTGTGTGAGAGAGTGTGTGAGTGTGCGAGTGTGTGTGTGAGAGTGTGTGAATGTGTGTGCCTAGTGTACCTGCAGGGACAGCTGCACACTGCTGTGAGTGTGAGTGTGTGAGAGTGTGTGTGCCTAGTGTACCTGCTGAGTGTGTGAGTGTGTGTAAGTGTAGTGTGTGTGTAGTGTAAGTGTAGTTTAGTGTGTATGTAGTGTGCAATGTGTTAGTGTGTGCAGTGTGTGTAGTGTAGTGTGTGAGTGTGAGTGTGTCCAGTGTGTGTGTGTTAGTGTGTACAGTGTGTGTGAGTGTGTGCAGTGTGTGTTAGTGTGTGTGTGTACAGTGTGTGTGTGAGTGTGTGTAGTGTGTGTGACTGTATGTGAGTGTGTACAGTGTGTGTGAGTGTGTCCAGTGTGTGTGAGTGTGTGTTAGCGTGTGCAGTGTGTGTGTGAGTGTGTCCAGTGTGTGTTAGTGTGTGAGTGTGTGCAGTGTGTGTGAGTGTATGTGAGTGTGTACAGTGTGTGTGAGTGTGTGTTAGTGTGTGCAGTGTGTGTGAGTGTGTGAGTGTGTCCAGTGTGTGTGAGTGTGTCCAGTGTGTGTGAGTGTATGTGAGTGTGTACAGTGTGTGTGAGTG